GGGGGGGGGGGGGGGGGGGGGGGGGGGGGGGGGGGGGAGGAAGGGGAGGAGGAGAGTGGGGATCTCAATGCAAAATCGTCTTCCTCCCTCCCCTCTTACCCTGCTCCCAGGAGACCACCCTGGATCCACCTATGCACATAGCTTAACTTTCTGAGATTCAGGGACAGTATGCCAGAAGTCCTAGCTACTGTAATTCCTTGCGACCTTGCTACAGCACGAAAAAGTGCAGAAACACATAACTGCAACGGCCTGCCCGGTGCGTTTCAGCCTGGGTTTGTTACTGGATAAAAAATGGTTGAGCTCATGCTCAGCTTGAAAATAAAAAAGCGCAAAACTTTACAGTATGTACATCAGCACTCCGAGTGACCACATGTCGCACGATTTGTCATAGCTCACTCGTCTCAAAATCTGAAAAAACGAAAACAATACAAAAAAATAGCGCACTAGGCCTCAAATAGATAAACAGGCAAACGGATTGGTAGGGTTCACTACGGCAGGTTTTCTGTGCAACGCATCCAAAAAAACTGCTGTATTAATCGACAGAGGTGCGGAAAAGGGGGACGAGCAATCCACACCCATGACATAAATACGATTCCAACCAGTGACATTTATTAATATTCTGAAAAGAGAAATACCTCGGGCGGCACATAGAGATAAGTGTAACAAGCGGTCTTTAAAGGTTTCGATTCGTCTTCCAATCCTTGCTTTGCAAACCCAAAATCGCCGAGTTTTAGAACACCTTTGCTGCTGCAATAACAACAAAATCATGTACACTGCGTTTTTGAACATAGAATGACGTGTTTCTGAGTGGTACTCTCTACGCACCTCCCTTGCAATATCTGCATCATATCGTAGGGCTAAGTTTTTCATCACTTTCAATATTTTGATTCCCGTGCTTACAGAATAAAGATAAAAAAGTAATTCTTGGAATTTTCCGGCTGTCCAAATCGATATGATTAACCTTCCGTTTAACTCAAGTCGTTTAGGACAGACAACACAATTTTCGAATCATTGAACCTGAAT